ATACGTATCTAAAATGAGAAAAAGAAAATGAGAAACAAAAATTGGCTCTATATATAATTTTATATCTAGTACTATTAACTTTCATTGACTTTTTTTGGTAAATTATTTTTTTTCAAGTTGACGATTGGATCTATAAAAAATAATTTATTTTCGTGGTTATTAACCGAACCGTACCGAACCGAGATATAAACTGAACCGACTTTCGTAGTTATGGTGCGGTTATGGTATGGTCAAAAAATTGGTGGTGCGGTTATGGTTTTGGCCGAACCGACCCCGAACCGAACCGTTGTCATCCCTAGTTTATCGTGAATACATCGAAATAATTTCACTGGACGAGTAAAGAAACATAGTCCTCAAATAAGCTAAAAGATGTAAACAAAAAAGGAAATAACAAAAAAATAGCTAATTTGTTTTCCTTTGAAAAAAGTGACATATGCATGTACTTTGAACTCCTCCAAACTCATGTTGTCTAATTTAGCTCATATAAAAAGATATATCTAATTTAGCTCATATAAAAAGATAAAGATTTATCGGCATAATAAAATAGTTAAGAAACGACATTCGGACTTCCTGTGTAGAGTAAGGTATTTCTGCTATTTCAGTGAAGAAATGAATACCTGCAAAATGTTCAACCTGCAACGGGTAAAACAAAGGCAATCGTACTAACAACAATTACCGGACAGAAATCAAATTGATTTATGTAATAACAAAGTAGGAATATATTGAAGGACAAATGAAATGTAAGAATATTTCCTTCAAGAGTTTAAGTGTATGTTTTGAACATATGATCGTCCAAATTTCTATTTCTCATCCACTTTTTTATTAAAAAGATGAAATATTTATATTGCATTGGCTGACGTGCTGACTGTTGGATCGAAACCACGTGGGCTCATCTCTCTAACTAAGACTTCACATCACTGTCTATTCATACAATTAAGACATTGATAAGAGGTTAGCCGCCATATACAGTAGGCTGACACACTGACAACTTTATTACAAGTGTTACATCACTTACTTCTAGTAGATCCTTAAATCTATTACAAGAGACAGCGTCGGCTCAATGAGCTTCGAATGAGTTGAAGAGAGCCTCGGATGGATCTGAGCTTCGTCTTTGAAGAAGTGCCTCAGACTGGACTTCATCGTGCTATGTGAAAACTTCGGACATTGTGTGAGGACCTCGACTTGTTTGTCTTATTGTTGCGTTTGACCTACTAGGTCTTCTTCTTAACTTTCTTGTTGACTGTCTGCCCACTTGTCATTCCACATGGACTCGTTTCACTGGGCCTCAGAGGCGGGAAGTGACAATAGTCCCCTAAATCTAGACATAATTATTTATGAAATGCATTGTAAAGATAAGAAAAAGGTTTCGTGGGATGGGGGGGTGGTTTTTTTGGTAAGGGGTGGTTTTTTGCTATCTCACACATTCCAACGAGTCTTCGAGCTCAGATAGCTTCTGTGAAATAGTCTGCAATTAATCATAAAAAATATAAGTTATATTTTTTTTGGCGAAGAATTTGATGAGTATTGAAGTTCGAGATGAAAAATAAAAAATTTGGTGTCTCTGATGCTCGGCTAAACTTCTGTCATATGTTCCATCACGTTTCCACATAACTGTTTTTACACTATCCAGAGCATTGTTGAACAAATCTGATTCAGGTCTAGCGTCAATGCATGTTCAACCATCCTGGATGGCTGATGCTGTCAACCTCAACTGCATCGTTTGATAACAAGATTTTTACTCCTTTCGACTTGTCCTTGTCAAGAATTGATTTCGCTAGATTTTCATCCTCATTATCCATGGGGAATGATCCCTCTGAAAGACCTTGTGCCTTGTAAAATGCAAATATCATTTCTCCATACAAAATCAACGTACTACTCTTATCCAACACTGATTCTATAAACACGACTTGAACTAGTGCTAGAAATGGTACAAAATTAGGCAAACAATCTAACCCTTTTCTCATGTGAAACAGTAGAAGTAGGAAAGAATTTTGTGACCCCTTCAACTTCTTCGTGTGCAATGTATAGTGCACTATTCATGCTCTCACTGACGTAGTCCATCTCCCTCTCTCTCAATTTTGGTCCGTGCAATTCTGCCCATTAGCTTCCTTTTATTTATAGTTGCAGATGAACATTGAACAAATATTTATAAATTTTTGTCGGTTACATCACATCATCAAAGTTGGCGGGTCAGCCGGGTCTTGTAACGTTATCATATATAAAATAATGATTTTATACGTCTTTTAACTGCTTGCTGGACTTACGTATGCAATTGAGAGACAGAAAAAGTGAAATAAAATCTCGGGCAAAATATCTACCTTCAACGTGTTCCATGACTTCAAAACACAATAATTTAAGCCCTGTTTGGTGAAGATTAAAATATTATTTTTAATAGATTTTGATTGACGATAATAAAATTGGTGATTGAAAAGTTGTGAATCTCATAAAATATGAGATTAAAATAAATTACGGACATGGAGACTCGAATCGGGGCGCATCGGGGAGAAACATAAGCAAGAGAGCTATTTCATTTAGGAATT